TTTATAAATGAAAAAATAATAGGTGGATTTTTATAGTGATAAACATGTGCAACTGCTTGTGGAAGCTCATACGCTGATATGTTGTAGAAAATTTAGTTGTCATTGTAGGATTTTCTCCTGTATCGTGCAATTGGTTTACATACTTATATTGCACATGGAAATATCCAAGCCCAGAACAATAGACAATAGAACAGAATAAATTATATTCATTATAGATTAGCTCATACGCTGATATGTTGTAGAAAATTTACCTGTCATTGTAGGATTTTCTCCTGTATCGTGCCATTGGTTTACATACTTAAATTGCACATGGACATATCCAGGCCCAGAACAATAGATAATAGAACAGAATAAATTATATTCATTATAGATTATAATTAATTCTTATTGTAAGTAATTTGTTATCTTTACCGCTGGTACGGAAAAAACTTCTGTTTTGGGAAGAACCACAATCGCGGATCTATTTTTCCAAAGATAATTCTTTACATATTAATAAAATCGCAGTGTCTGTATGTAATATCGAAATGACTACCTTTTATTGAGCTGAAGGGGTTATTTGAATGCCATTAAGACATAAATAACCATTTTGTCTGTCTGTCCGTCTGGGCTAAACTTCGGAATGGCTGAACCGACTGTAATGAAACAAACTTGTTTGTATGAACATTAAAACAATAATTTAAAGTTAAAAATTTTGTACAGACTTCAATATAGGTTATTTAAGAATAACTCAATAACCATTGGTCTGGCCTTGATCAAATTCATATGGGACCACACGAGAACTATCAGCTTTCATATAAAAAAAGAATCATCGAAATCGGTTGGCCCAACTACAAAGTTATGAGGTAACACACATTAAAAAAAAACATACAGTCGAATTGAGTACCGTCTCCTTTTTGGAAGTCGGCAGAAAATAGTTATGAACAATACTCTGTAAATACTAGGAACAAGCACGATTTTGTTATACCAGTTACTCGACTCCAAAGAGTCAGTAATTTATAAATGGGGCAATTGTATATGCTTTTAGAACAAAGTCCCAGAAAATATGCAGTTCTTAGTATCAAAAAGTTTAAAATTTTTTTAAGCAAAAATTGTTTAGTAAGGGTACTACTTAAGAGTACATGATTGAAAATAACCCCTGGGAAAGTGGTGATCGTTACCATGCTGTTTCTAATGTCTTCATACTAATTGTATAAAATAGTATATTTAAAAAAAGTGCTGGTAGGTTTTCACGGCACGATTCTTTGAACATCATCATGTTATCCGAAGGGCTCTTGTCTCTATAAATGTTCCCTCGATTTTAGAGCCTTGTGGAATATTTAGAGACGATAGCAGGAGACCCGACGGTATGACATTGGTCCCTTGGGAGAGAGGTAAAGCCCTAGTGTGAGATGCTACTTGCGCAGACACTCTGGCGGCCTCTCATCTCAGGAGCACCTCGTTAAGAGCCGGGGCTGCATCTGAGGCAGCTGAACTGAGTAAGTGGCGCAAATATAAATCTCCGAGAGATGACTATGTACATATTTGCCATTTACTGTAGATACTATCGGTCCGTGGGGTCCACGTGCGGTGAAGTTCCTAAAGGAACTCCATCCGCGGCTGGTCGTTGCTGCTGGTGATAAGAGAGCTGGTTCTTTTCTCGCTCAAAGGCTAAGTATAGCCATTCAGTGGGGAAACGCAGCCAGCATTCTTGGCACGATAACGCGGGAAGTAGGACTTAATGATAATTAAGTTACTAGTTTTAGTTTTTTTTATTATACTTTTATAATAACGTATAGTTATTTTAATTTTATTAAATATTAAAATTTTAAATTTATTTTATTAAAAATGTCCCGCTAGGTATTTTGCTGGTTCTTCCCAGAATAGAAGCTTTTTTCCGAAATAGTTGTAAAAGTAAAAATGACTTTTAATAAGTATTCTTGGAATCTATTATATTCTAAACAAATAGAGAGTAATGCCAGAAGAGATCTAGATATTGTTTGCGAAAAACTTGGATATTTAAAAAATGCGAGAAATTGATAAAATTAATGATCTTTGAATAACATGAAACTTAAAAATCCTATCCTACCCATGTAAAGTCAGATCGAGTCGCTAGTTTTGAATAATTTAATGGCTTTCATACAATATCATCATCATCATAATTCCAGCTCTTCAAAAGTCCACTGATTACCATAGTCCATTTCCAAGGAATACCACAAAAATATGCTTATACAATAAAGTTTTATATAGCTTACAGTAACACACTATCAATAGGACTTTCTGTCCTGTTTCTGTCTACCTGGTGGTAATCGGTGATGAAGATTATGAAGATTATGCATCGAACCCAATCATGCCGTCTTAGATCTCAACAGTGATAACGATTCTGTATTGATATATAATCTATGTTCGATTTATATGTTAATATGCCACAGCCCCCGATTGTAAGTAGCTACTTACATTCGGGGGTACTGTCTGTTTGTTTGTCACTTGTACTTGTATAGAAACTTTTCAGCATCTTCGAGATCGGTCAGGGGTGGATATATAATCTAAACTGTCAGGCAACATCTAGAATGTTTTTTTCTCTTTGGCTACTATTTCCCAGATCATTAGTATTATAATTTAGTTTAGACTACACTAGTGTACAAACACATCGTATATACCTCCTTCGACGTTTCACTATTTCAACAATGTTTTCTTTGACGCCAATTAATGAGGTATCGGGCAAGAGTAGATCATTAATTAGGTGAGAATTTTTCAAAACTTCATCTTTGCACGGCTGTGCAAAGGGCTCACTGATAAGTCAGACATATCAAAACTTCTACGCATATATAGACATAATTATTGTACATGCAATAATTAAGATATAAGATGTTTTTATAGAAGAACCCTCTGTATGGGAGGTACCTAAAATAATAATAATTTAAATATTTTATTCCACAACTTTGTAGGTGTGATTAATATCTATAACTATGTTAAATCAAATAATAATAATAAATATAATCGAAGCTTTGTTTTTAACGTTGTCGCACGGATGGGCCGGCTCGAACCGGGGTGGTACCACGACCTCACAGAAAACCAGCGTGAAGTAGGGGTTTACCTCTGCGTCTCGCTTGGTGAGTGCAGGTGGCCGGAGGCCCTTTTTACTGGAAATGAGGCATTCCATCTTAGTCCTCACGGGTGACAACGCATCTACATTTTTATTTATAATAGAAGATAGATGTAGATGTCTATGGGCCGCAGCAACCACTTATCATCAGGTGGACTGTGTGCTCGTTTGTCACCCTTATCCTATAAAAAAAAACCTAGGGTCTCTGAGTAAAATTGCGGACGAATGGACGGAAGGACTTTTTGTTTAACTACGGCAACTTAAAAATTGTTGTTCTTGACTTAATGACATGCAAATAACCTCCTCAGCTCAATATAAGGCTACTTTGCCTATATTACTGACAAATTCTTCAATTTTATTTACATATATAGATAGAAAAGTTGGATATTATACAAAATTAAACACAGTTTGATCGACCACCATGAATGTTGGCATGGGTATTTTTCACTGGGAAGGTTTTTAAGCTATCCACTTTATTTCAACTCACCACCAGATAGCGCAGAACATTAACTTCTATACCATCCAACCGATGGTCATGAAAATTAGTATACTTACACAGGCAGGGCAACGGCTGCTGGGCTTTGCTAGTAATATTTTATGTATGAACAGGATGTAGGAATTATTTTCTGTCTAGAATTCTGTCTGGGTAGGTACCACACTCTTACCTGTTTTCGCAGCCAATTAGCAATGCTTGCACTTTCAGTGTTCTAGTCTATAGGGTATAGAGATCCAGTAGAATTACAATCAAAAATCAAAAATCAAAGTCCTATGTTCAGAACTGAACTTTTATAGGCTGTGATGGGTGGATAGATGAATAATAATAGGTCGAGGAACAAGTTTCTTCGTATTTTGTTTTTATAAAATTGAAGAAAAATCTTTTTGGTGGTACTGTTTGTATCTGGCTGGTTTTAATATCACTACATAAAGGACATTAAGTAAAATAAAAATAAAAAGTAAAAAACACTTTCCCGCTGTTTTTCAATTGTTTTTCTGTCCGCCAAAATGAGTAAATCTAACGAAGAAATTCGATTTCAAAAAGGTGAAAAATGCGACTCAAGCCGCAAAAAAATTTGTAACGTTTATGGACCTATTGCAGTGTCAGTAAGAGTAGCACAAAATTGGTTCAAGTGTTTTCAGGCCGGGAATTTTTATGTCAATGATGCAGCTTGCTCTGGTCGCCCTCGTACGGAGAAAGTCGACATTTTTGAAAAAGTAGAGCAAGATCGGCATATTAGTAGTTACACCATAGCCGAGGAGTTGAGGATTGACAACAAAAAGGGTCTTGGGTTTGCGTACCACACGAGCTCACTGAAAGAAACCTTATGAATCGTGTACTCATTTGCGATTCTCTATTGAAACGTAATGAAAACAAACCATTTTTGAAAAGATTGATCACTGGTGATGAAAAGTGGATCACCTACGACAAGAAAGTGCGAAAAAATCATGTTCTAATGGTAGTCAAGCTCCACAAACCCGGATTTACATGCAATAAGGTGATACTGTATGGTGGGATTGGAAGGGCATAATTTATTATGAGCTTTTACCGTCGGGCAAAACCATCGATTCGGATGTCTAAAAACTAATAAGACTAAAGCAAAAAAATGAGAAAAAACTGCCGGAATTGATCAAAAGAAAAGTAGTGGTCTTTCATCATGATAACGCCAGAACACAGACATCTTTGGCCACTCGGCAAAAGTTGAGAGAGCCCAAGATTTCTACAACAACGGGATTATGCCACTACCTATGAGATGGCAACAAGTTATCGAACACACTGGCACATATATATTATAATTAAAAGTAATTAAACTGTGAAAAAAACTGTCTTGAATTTGTATATAACATACGAAGTATCTTTTTCTCCAACCTATTAATAGCATTGCCAGTATAAAAATAAATGTATTTATTTTTCCAACAGAAAATGATGAGCACGCGACTTCTGGCGACAATTGGCGTTCTGCTGACGCTGGTTGCTGCAGGAAGCAGCATCAAATGCTGGCAGTGTGGACAGTACAGCGATGGCGTTGGATCCATAACGCCTTGTAACAACAAAAGCGCCACCCGTCTGGCAGAATGCCCGCCAGCGGCGAAGTATTGTATTGTAAGTAGCCAATGGCCTCCTTGTTGGATGTGTTTGGAGAAAATAAAGACGGTTCCGTGACGCAGTGGCTTAACATTGACTTGCAGCAATAAGGGCGTTTACGTGGTATAGCCATGCTGCAGCTATATTAGTATGTATAGTAGAATGGGTCGACTCGACCGGGGTTGGACCACGCTCTCACAGAATAACATCGTAAAATAGCAGCTTAACACTGCTGCGTTTCGTATGGTGAGTGTAGAGAACCAGAGACCCTTTTTACTGGAAAAGAGGCATTCCATGTTAGTCCTTACGGCTGGAAACGCATCTGCATTTTGATTCGCAAACGAGGATAGATGTAGAAGTCTATGGGCCACAGCAACCGCTTATCATCAGGTGGACTGTGTGCTCGTTTGTCACCCTATCCTATAAAAAGGGCCGCGGGTTTGAATCCCTCACATAACAAGTATTTGTACGGCCTAGAAATAATTGTTCCGGGTCTGGATGTTTACCCTTGTGGTCAAGGGTACGAAATGTTTGATGCTGTGGTTCTCAATCCGTCTGCCAATCTTGACGATTATAAAAAATGTGGAGCAAAAACAAGTGATGAAGAAGCATGGGCAGCAGTGACAAAGGTGCGAAATATCTGGTGCTGTGATCATGAATGGGTCTGTCAATCATGACAATTTTATGGTTTTTCCATCCCCACTCTATGAGAGGGCTAGTCACATATGATTTGATCTTAACCAATTCAGTCACAAGCACCTTAAGGTTTTAGACTTAGTTGCTATAGTTAATGAGAATATTATTAGTTTTGATAGCATGTCTTCTGTAAACAAGGAAAATCTTTTAGATATACGTACATAACACATAAAGTTATTAACGGTTTCGTGGTACAGTAAGTTGTGGTTTAGGATCGAGATGCGGCGTTAAGGGCCGTGGGTTCGAATCCGGCAAGGAACAAGTATTTGTTTGGCGTATTACTAACTGATCCGAATCTGGATGTTTAAACTTAAATGCAATTTATGTATACTGACTTCACGATATAGGAGAAAATCCTAATGTGGGGTAACGTTTAAATAATTATAATAAAAAAAAATTATAAATTGCTTTTTGTTACAGAAATACGTAAGCGAGTTGACTGTTGTACGAGATTGTGTACCAACGTGCACAGAAAAAGGTAATGGTTTACGCAGGATTAAAGCTTCATGTGTGTGATTTTTCAAATTTAATTTCGTATTTAAAAACGTGTATATTAATTTAATTTTTTATAAGAGGAATAACAGAGGTATATGAAAACTAAAGACTACTTGTTAGTGCGCGGGTTACTGCCGCGGCCATCCAATCTGGAATGCAGCGGTCTTCGACTGCCCCTCCACAACGCCGCCGCCTCCCTGAGGCCCTGCCTCAACAGTAATCATACAGAAATTGTATTAATGGTTACTATCTTACTAGAATAATGTGAATTATTTACGCTGCAAATTTTCATTTAGCATAAGCGTGGAAAGTTTCACTGCTTTCGAGTGTTTATTATGCGCTTAAAATTTCTTTCTCTTCTCTCACAGAATGGTGGGGCGCTCGAACCTTCTGCTGTGAATCTGATGAGTGTAATTCTGCGTTTACACAAATGCCAACAACTGTCACCATTGTTGCAGTTATCACATTAGTACTAGCAATTGCACGCTGATCGCTTGCTTGAAGTTGCCTTTTTGTTGCTTTTAACACATCAATAAGTTCAAAGTCAGAAGAAATACATGAGCTGCGTGAGGAAGTTTTAATTTAATTTATTTTAGTATAAAAATCTGAATGTTCCAACTCTGTATCAATAAGCAGATTTTTCATAAATTCTTATGTGCATATTAGCTTTGAAAATCACATTTTTTATCTAAACCCTATTTTTTAAACTCTCTAATCTTCTAATACTTATATTATTATCACAGAGTATTACATTAGAAAGTTCTAACATTTCGTGAAAATTACTGTATGATTTTGGTTCATATTTTGTCGAGAATTTAAAAGAATAGTTCTATAGAATTAAAATCGTTACTTATATTTTTTGACCTTTCTCGAACTGCAAAAAAATGAATAATATGAAACTTTATATGTGTTTACTTATGTGTGTTTGAATAATTTTCAAGTTTAATTGTTATACATTTTGAAGTACTCCAAGTATTTGTTTGCTAATGAAAACTTTCTTAATATATGTATTAAAATACCTTGAATGTTATCCCTTTGAATCATTCATTATCAACCAGTACTAATAACATAATTTAATGTCAATCTATAATTTAAAACCTAACATACATAAATGTTGTAGCTGTGTAGGGGCGGTGTAAGATAATCCACTAACCCATATCATCCCGCGGGTGTCGTAAGAGACGACAAAGGGAAAGAGAAACAGGAGAAAGGCAATAAAATCTTACTGAAAATAACTCAAAATAATAAAAAAACTGCGGTTGCCAACCCGCCTGGTGCCAACTATGTCAAATATCGCACCTATGAGGCATATGATAGATTATCATATATATATTATGTATCTGACATTACTTCCCAGAGACTTCGATACATAATATTTGTGAAGGAACCTATGAAGTCCTCTTTTAATTATTTAAAATATTGCATTTAAAGGAATCATTGCATTATGAAGTTGAATAAAAAAACGCCTGTGTGTACTTACGTATGCACGTAAGAAGTTATACTTGTTTAGCGTAAATAACTAAAATAAAACACGTTTTATATTATAGATTCAAATATATTTGAATAACTACCTTGTTATCACTTCTCACGAAACTTGACAGACAATTATTACCAATTGAAGTTGACGCCTTTAGGTTTCGGTGTGCGCGCGCATCGTAACTACGAGTACTTCATGGTGTGGTCGTTAGTAAAAAAATCACTCTCAACATTTTTCTCAAACGCGCCAAAAGAAGTGTAAGTTCAAAAATTTTCATTGAAACGCTTCCAGCTTTGTCAATTGACCTTTTGCTTGATTTTTTTTTCTTAATTTTTAAAACTGCTGCCGTTACGTAGAATGTTATAAAGTTAGACATTCCATTTTATATTTTATAATTAATAACATATTATTATTATAAATGATGCAAAAACGAAACGCTTTATAGAACTTTATCACATATGGACATTAAGATACTAAATTATTCTAAATTATCATTAACTTATATTAATAGTAATATAGATGTTAGCATGTAGGAAATAAGTTCTTATTATTAATTTTAAGGATTCTAGGTTAATAGTGAATTTTTATTAACTATTTAGATTGTTATCTAAAGCATATATTATAAAAATCTAGTCTGATTGTCAAGCTTAATAGATATATTTCAAGGATTCATATTGTAACTGTAAAATGCACACCAAATATGTCATAGATACTACAAACTTATATATCTCTCATGTTATATGTTAATTAAAAATTTAAGACAATAAATAGATTATCCATGTGACAAATCTATATTGGACTAAGGTACAGAATGCCATCGCTTTTTTTTTAAATTGCGGTACTGATCAATATCGATAAATTTTAATTTTTATATATAAAACATATTTTAGTCGGATTTTTTTAATATAAATTAGTGAAACAAACTATCAGTCCACCTGATCGTTAAGCGACTACTGCAGTAGGTTCAAACAAAGAAGGCTACAGGTGCAAGGACAGCCTTGAGGGCTTTAATAAAATGCCTTATAGCAGCATAGCCTCTAATTGTACTGGCTCTCTTACTTTAATTAATAAGTGGGAGAAATAAAGTAAGAGCGAAAAGAGAACAAATAGAGAGAAAGTTAACTTTCATTTATTTCTTACATGTTCCCTGATACCTAATTGCAGTTCACTCAATAAATAGTTTAATTTTATTGTACATTTAAAGTAAATAAATTTATACCTGACAAATATTTCAACTATTTTTATATATTCTTAAAACCGCTTTATTTTGTGAGAATTCTCCATTGCCTAGTGTGATTCTACCTTAAAGATTTGAATAAGCGATTATTGTAACAAACTTCCTGTTTTGAGTAACAATAAGTTTATTTATTTGATCTACGATACATTAAAGAAACTTTAAATCAATCGGTTTTATTACACAAAGTAGTTTATAATTTAGTCTTTGGTTTAAAATATCAATAGAATCCGTTTCACGAAAGAAGTCCCGCTCGAAATATGCGAACGTAAAATGTAAAATCTGAGTTTAACAGCAACGTTGTGATGCCGCGGTTCAGTAACTTTTTTATTTAGAAGTACTCTGCTTAAACCATACCATAAACTCAAAACTATCAATAAACGAATTTTTGTAATAAGACGGAATTATGTTTATAATATAAAAGTACCGGCCTGTATAAGATATGTATAGGACATAATATTATTTAGGTAATTTTATTTAGGAGGTCGTTTTTTATTGAATCTTTTTTCATAAACAAGTGGTGAAACAACCACAGAGATTAATTTAATATTATTATTGAGATGTTTCACTCTTAACACAGTGCTTAACATTTATAGGGATCATAAAATTTAATAACACAGTTACCTATTTATGTATTACATAACAACGACTAAACTAAAATTTAAATCTTTATTTTTAGTTTAGTTTTCTTACCTTTAATAATTTGGTTAGACCACGAATTTTGTTTTTTTAAACAATGTATTTTTTTAAATAAAACTCGCCGATCATCTTTTACTATGTAGAATTCTAAGTACAATTTAAATAGCAATACTTATTCACTATCACGTACAATTTTACAAGACACTATGCTGTATTAGATTTTATTCCTAGATAAATAAAGACCAATTTATAACTCAATATAATGCCTTTTATTTCTGTTTTACTGTACATTTGTGTTTGAAGTGTGTTCGCGCCAAACGCTAATTTTAAGAATTAACACTAGGGGGCGCTCGGCGCGGTATTTCCTACCGGTTTGACATTCGCGTGAGACCGGAGTTGGTTGCGAGCGGAGTGCGTCGGAAGTTATTAATGCAGCGCACTTACTAGAACGGCGTGGTCGCGTACCGTATAACCTCTAAATAGTGTCGGTTTTTGTTAGCAAATTTATGCAACGACGAGGAGTTTTGTTGAGTCTAGAAAAATAGATTGATTGCGCGGACGCCGGTTCTTCGCTAGACTCGTGAGGTCGCTTTAAGATCGCTTCTATTTTGAGTTATCATTTTAGTGCGTTTACGCGATAACGAGGTCTGTCAAAATGTTGAGTGATTAAATTAACTTACCTTTGTTTGCAAATAATTTACGTCAATTTGTATAGTGATCGCATTTTGCCTGTTAATATCGTACGAAAGAATTTAGTTGTTGTGTGGAACGCTGAACTTTGGGACCCGAGAGAAGGTCGCGTTCGGTTTCTAGAAATAATTTGTTGCTAAGTGAAAATGGAAGTTGTACTTTGATCGCCCGTTCATTAGTTGTGCCATGTGTCACGTGTTTGATTACGATTAACGGGGACTGAGTTGAGTTTGAAGTTCATTAAATGTACAATAAAGTTGATAAACTGAAATAGTGAAGTGAAGTCACACTTGAGTTCAGATAAAGTGAACTACCACTTTTGGAGAAAATCAGCGCCTAAGGATCTGCAGTCCGACTTCACCGGGGAGATCAGGTTACACATGTACACACTACTACACACTACTTACATGAACATACTTAACGCCTGACCGCGCCTTGGGGTCGGTCCTCGATTCGGAACCAGGTAAGTTCTTATTAATTTCCTAGCCTTGCATCTATTGTGTAGGATAATTGTCCATAGGCCATTTGGGCCCCGTCCTCTGTTGCCGGTCGACTGGATTACTCATGGGCCCTAGACTCAACCTTTGTGGAGGCAACTCAGGGCGTGAACAATCTGTGAATCACTTTTTAGTTAACAGGTCGAAGGGTCGAAGGAAATACTTAGCCACTACGGCTAAGTATTTCTAAGGTTAAGTAAGGGTCTCGTGGATATCGTAAGAGGGCCGCTATATCGCGACTAAGAATTACTTATGCTAAAGAGTTATATGTAGGGCGTCCCCCCACTAGATGGAGTGACGACCTGGAAACATGCAGGAAGTCGATAGAATAGAATAGAATGATTTTATGCAATATGGATTATTACATAAGACTTATTGAAAGTCATTATTTTATTTACCAATGGTTCGGAAAATACCTCTGTCCTGGGAAGAACCAGCAAGAAACCCAGCGGGACTTTTTTTTAAACATAATTTCACTTAACAATAATTTTGTTTATACAATTTTAAATGAATTTTCATAGAGCCAGCATGGTGGCGATCACCTTATTCCCAGGGGTTATTTTCATTCATGTATTCCTTGATATTATAATAACCCTTTTTGTACAGTTTTTCTTTAATAAAACTTTTAAACTTGTTTATTGACAAACTTTGAACATGTTCTGGGATTTTGTTGTAAAAGCGTATACATTGCCCCATAAATGAATTACTGATTCTGTGGAGTCTAGTAACTGGCATTACAAGCTTATGTTTGTTCCTAGTGTTTAAGGTATGAACATCCTTATTCTTATTAAAGCTATTTATGTTTTCATGTACATACATTACATTTTCATAAATATATGGCGATGCCAAAGTTAATATGTTTATTTCTTTAAATTTTTCTCTGAGGGACTCTTTACAATTTAGATTATAAATCGGCCGTACGGCTCTCTTTTGCAAAACAAATATAGCTTCAA